TGATCATATTTGTTTTAACATCTAATATATAAATAGGCATCTCCTGTCAGGTTGTTTGTGGTAGCACTCCTCCGAAACGGCTCAACCGATTTTAATGTTTGTTTTTGTATATTTGGTAGGTATGAGAATAGATCGTAAAGTATTTTTCACCCTCCTACCCCCTCCCCCTAATTTTTTAAGTAACTAGGGACGAACTCAGTCGCTAGTAATATATAATAATTAATTATTAAGAATGTGATTCATTCGATTCTGTATCCATCTTTCACGCAGTAACTGAAATATTTAATGAATATATACGTGATATTAGCTACTTTTTATCACTTCTGATGTTGTCACAGTTCTATTTTGAGTTTTTGTTTCTGACGTTTCCAATGCTTTACTATTCTTTAAACGGCCACGAGAGAGACTCGTAGTTCGAAATGTTAGAAACACATTCAAAATAAAACCGCGACAAAATCTGAATAGGTACTTTTATTTAATATTTGAAATAAAATATTCGCGTAAATCTTAGTAAGAAACCCTTTTATTCTAACACTAGCGACTCACTCTCGCTTCGCTCGGGTTCGTCCCTAGGTACGTTTTAAATTAAAATGGATATAGTATGCTATCCTTAAGAGATAGATATATGCCATCGTGGACTTTTCTGTAGACCTATATACGATACACAATTACACCATACATTATTTTGTTATATCTCAAAGGGTTTAGGCAGCGTTTTCGTTGAAAGTTCCCAGACGTCTTATTTTTTCCGACACCTCCAACAAATATCGTTATATTTTAGCCAATGTATACAAAAACTTAACAAATTATATGCTAAAACCTTCCTCTTGAATCACTCTATCTATTAAAAAAACCGCATCAAAATCATCAAACATAGAGATATAGGGACAGAGAAAGCGACTTTGTTTTATACTATGTAGTGATATACATATCATTTCTATATATTCCTGGGTCACTAAAATATGCTGTTAACAGACCAGTGAAGTTAAGGTAAGACCTAAGCAAAGTGGGCACAAACCTCTAGTTAAATATATTACTCGTTACAGAAAAGCATTAAAATTAAATCGTATATTTCACTTCGTGAGTACGATTTGCAATGTAAATTTCAGCTAAATGGAAAAAGTTTTAATTGAATAAATTATACGCATATTTGTTTATAAACATTTGTGACCGGAACAGATATGAAATCTTCTGAGTTTTAATAAAAAAGGGAAAAGCTTATACAAAATGGTAAACAACTATTGGTTCTTGTTAAAAAAGCTTTATGATCTATGGAAGCATACACTTTTTAAAAGGAAGCGTTTGTAAATCTTCAGTCCCCATATAATAATTAGTGTTTTCCCGCGACTTTACCCAAGTAGTTCATTTATAAGTTATTTTATATGAATATTATATTTGATTTCCCATACAAACTTTCATCATTTTAAAAAGTATCCTATGTCCTTCCCAGGGTCTCAAACTATCTTCTTACAAAATTTCATCTAAATCGTTTCAGAAGATCCAGAGATTACCTCCTACAACGTCATAAACTCACAAACTTTACCTTTTTATAATATTAGTATAGATGAAATAAACTTTATTCATTTAGCCTTATTACAAGCACTTTTGAATCGTCAATCTAATTTAAGCGTCAGTCCGTGAGGAAGCTGCCACCGGCTCGGAAAGCAGTTCTGGACTATATATATATATATATATATATATATATATATATATATATATATATATATATATATTCTTCAATTCCACACATTTCCTTAGTTCCGCTCCTTAAGGTCGTTGCGTAGTGTTAGATAGCCCTCTTCAATAAATAGGTTATATAGGGAGCTTTTCAAATTACACTGGTTCTGGAGATTAGTGCATCCAAATTTTCTGAGCTTTAAGCTTCATATATTAGTATGAAAGTCAAAATTTTATACTAAATCACTTGTTTAATTGACTATTTCTATGATTTATATTGAAGGTAAATTAATTATTAAATTGTATGGAATAGATAAAGTATATAATATAAGTATAGGTATGATGAGTTTTATATCCCTTACTTGAGAAATGATTGATTCTTCATACAAACTTTCATCCCTCTTTTCACGTCCTTCAGGGATGATTTCCGCAATAAAAAATCTTGTGTTATTCACAGGATTTCATGCTTATCTTCATATCAAATTTCATTTAAATCGGTTCAGTAGATTTTTAGTTTATCCATTACAAATAAACATATAAACGTACAAAATACATTTTTTACTCTTTATAATATTAGTACAAAAATCTAACAAACCCTTTCAATGAAACTTTAATTGTTTGTTCTGCTTTCCCCTAGCAATTTTTTTTATCTATTGTTTACGGAACCATTTCCACACAACGTGGCTCGTCCTTAACCAGTTTATAGTATCTCCAATTTTAAAGCTGCAATCAGAGGTTACGTAAGGCCATTCCAAGAGCTATCCCATCAGAAAGCAATCTCTTTTCTTGTCTCAATTCTGTTTTATTGGATTGTTATTTTGTGTGATACTAAAACATTTATATCCTTTATTTGTACTATCTAACAATTATTTATTTATTAGATCATATTTGAGCTTGTAATAGCTTTTACTTTAAACTAGTGACTAATCCTCGCTTCGCCCGGGTTCATCCCTAGTGAAAAACAAAAACAAATCTATCCCACGGGAACCGTACATTTTTTCGGGATAAAAAGTAACCTATGTGCTATTCTAGACTATAATCGATCACTGTGCCTTTAATCCAGATCCGTTTAGCCGTTCTGGTGTGATTGAATAACAAGCATCCATCCAAACTTTCGCATTTATAATATTTATGAGATGAAACTAACTTTTCGATGTTTTTTCTGATTTATTTTGATTTTTTGTTGCCGACGTTTTGAATGCTTTAGAGAAATAATAGTTACGAGAGAGTAAAATTTTAGATTCCAGACGCATAATCGTGTTACAGACGGACGGTATCTATCCACATAATTATACAATTTCGATTTTTAACAAGTTAATAACTTAAAGATTAAATATTTTTTATTGTGTTGTTACTATTTTATTATTTAATATCGTTAAAGTAACTGATACCAAGTTTTAAAACCATTAGATTTATGGAAGTTGTTCATATTCTTTTACCGTCTAGAAAATAGTTGATAGCCTGCAAATGGCTAAATGGAATTTTGAATTAAAACAAAAAAACTAAATTGACATAGTTTTATCCGTTTGAGCGCTACAATGCCACAAACAAATACACAGATATACACGTTAAACTTGTAACTCCTTTCTTTTGTCTCCGGGGTTAAAATACCGATAAGTGGAACGATACCTTTAAACATTTACCTCAAAAATACTTCAGGTAAGAATTGAATTCCAACCCACTCAATATTGCGAATGTATTATATACTCATATAGCTAAGATTAAACCAACACACGTATCACTTAAATATTTTATAATCAAAATTAACCTAGATTGCATACAGAACTACGTAACGTCCAGTAGACATACATACAATTTTGAGTGCATTTGACCTCTTTGTTTCACTACACTTCCTGTAGACTGAACTGTAACCAAGCAATTCCATGCTACGAGCTCCTCTTAAATAAACAGTTTGCAGGCAGACTTTAAAGTCGGACTACCTGGAAATTATATTAGCCGGACTTTGCTTTTAAAATGTAGTAGGTCATTGAGTTAAGGCAAAAAGTTAAAATTTCAACAATTACTTGAGTTCTGAGTAAATAACATAATATACTGCCCAGCCATTGAAATAGGTCAGTTAAAACTAATGGAGCTAGAGTTAGCTTTAAGGAACAATGGTAAATGTAGATTTAAGAAAAACTTTAAAAAGCACATATTTATCATAAATTGCAAAGTTTGTTTAGTTTTTGATTTCTATTTATTGTTACTGTTATCCCACTGCTGGGCAAAGGCCTACCATCTACGTTCCCAAGTTTTGCTGTCTTGCGCAAGAATAGGCTAATTTGTTATTATATTATTTACTTCGTGGTCTGCCACGACACCGCCTCCTTGTTTCAAAGCTCTTTGTGGTAACTTTCAGTGAAAACCTAAATCTCGTTTAAAAATTGTATCTATTTCTTATTTTCTTCCAGCTAGTTTCTCTTTTAACTTTATATTATATTAATTTTCAATAGTTGATAATTTCATGTAATTCCGTTAACTGTGGTCTTGCCTCGTTTGAAAATAATGTTTGTTTAGTCATTTATTTGTTGGCGTTGTTCCAATATAGTCGATTAACCAAAAAAATGACTCAGACGGTGCCAAATGATAAGCGCGATATTATTAAGATTAAAGTATGTCGAGTGTCATTATATTACATCTAAGGGTATTTTAGCGGGTATTTTCTCCTATTTGGTACGCAGTAAACAAGTTTGCCAAATGTCACCACATTTTGGGGCATAAATTATGGAAATTAGTTTTGTGTTTCAAATTTTACGTTTTGTCATAAATATTTAATAAGGTTGAAACAACCCTGTAAATAATAAAAAGAGAATCAATTTGCTTAATTATCTTATGGTTTGTAATTTGATCATAATTTACATTGTATGAGTAAATGTTATAAATATAATAAAGATGATGTATATGAACTATGAGGTTTCTTTAGTCGTTACTCATTATGTATATATACATATCAATATATGTAATTGCTAAGGATGTTTTAAAATATAAACATCTATAGTAGCCTAGTGGTAACGCGTTTGCTTAAAAAACTAATGATGCAAGTTCAAACTCCGGGTCTTGCAGTTCTGTATATTTCTTGTGCGAATCTTTTTCAACATATTTGCGTTATCTAAAGTAAAGTAAGCGTTTGACAAGACTATGAAAAAAAAATCTTTTGCTAAAAGTTGAACTTTGTCATATATATATATATATATATATATATATATATGACTATCATACTTCGCTCTGTATTATCTTAAAGTAATGTAGACAGAATATACTGTGGTTTTTCGAGTTTTTTCTCTGTAAAAAAACAGCGTATCAGCAAAAAAAATTCGAAATACCTCTTGTGGTGTATATCTGAAGATCTCGTGCGTTCCTCGATACCACTTGACTGAGTGTAATGGAGGGTCTAGGGATTGTTTTGCGTAGTGGCATCTAAGCACAGCTTCGATCCTAGGGTCGTTCCAACGCGGGACGTCCAGTAACGTTATCGTGTGGCATACGCTGTGTGCTGAAACAGAAAAGAATATATTTAAGTAAACAAGTATTTGCCCAGTAATCGAAATTTGACCATACTTATTTTTTTTATGGATAATACTAAAGCTTGTCAACAGTCACTAAAAAAAGAACGAAAATGAATTGACGGACAGAGGAGAAGAAGGTACTGTATTGTTTTGTTTTTACTTATCAATACAGGGTCATTTTTAATTTACTGAAAACCTTTTGGGAATATACTGTTTACATCATAACAACAACATCTGTAACAAGAACAAATAATATTTCTTAAATTTTTATTTTCATACAAAAATAAAAATATTATTTTTGCACCTTATAAACTTTAAAGTTCTAGCATCTGGCCAAGTTTAAATAAGTAAGCGCGGCTTCCTACCCCCTTCCACCCCTCCCCCTCCATCGGACACGCACTTTTGCTAATGCTGGACTATTACCGTTCCAACGTGCGTTCACCTTGTCGTGGTGGGGGGGCTCAGTAGTGCCCGGCAATACAGCCGGGCGCGAAGCCAAGAAACGCACAGGGAGGTGGCCCACTTCGGTGGGCGGTGGGAGGTGGCCCTCTTCGGAGGGCGGTGTACCATGCGGGTTGCTCCTGGTACTTCTCTGATAGCAGAGTGGACCTTGGAGCAACCCCGTGGTTGTTGTCTGCTTTGGCAGACCTGCCGTCGGGGCGTCGTAGTTGAATGCGTAAGCGATCCTGCGACGCCCCATTAAGACGGTGGAAGGCTTTGTTGGGTTTTAGTGGGTAGTACTGGCTTTGCCGGTGAGTCCCACACCTCGTGCGTAAATGCATTTCCCAACGTTAAAAAAATTTACCGTTGACAAGGTGCAATAAAAATATTTTTATTTTTGTTGATATATATATTTTTTCTTACAGATGTTGTTGTTATGTTGTAAATAGTGTATTCCCAAAAGGTTTCAGTAAATTAAAAATGACCCTGTATAAACAAATGTTTCCTGAGTTTTTATTGTTAATACTAAAGCTGGTCAATAGTTACTAAACAAATAAAAGAAAATCGGTTGACAAACAAAGAAGAAAATGGCACCGAATTTTTTTTCTTTGCCTTTTATATATAAATAAAAGATTAAATTAGATTAACAAAAAATCTATCTGTGCTAAATGCGAAAAGGCGTCGAAACAAGATCATCATACGTAGATTTTATTATGCAGTCAAAGATGTATGTATGTATGTACATGTTTTAGACTTGTTGGAAGTATACCATTGTCAAGGCAAAGCAAAAGAATAATTCATCAAATTCGGTTCAGCTATTTAGTAATTACGGAAGAAAAAAGTTAAACAAGATTTAAAACATATGCAGTTATTTTTATACAAGGAAATCTGTAAGTATAGATTATAATCTTATTAACGAATGGATGCAATCGGAAATCGAACTTGGTGTTTAAAAAAATACATCCCGTTTTCCAAAATAGCTCCATACCTGTAAAGAATGATATATTAAGATTGAATTTACGGACTTTCAGTGTGTAATCAGTACTCTAGTACTGAGCTATATGGCCTTCATTTTCATAATTGTTTAATATTAACTTTTAAATTCTTTATAATTGAATATCATAAAAATGTACTTTCGACCTCTAACCCTTCACAAAATTTCCCGCTTAGTTGAATTAGAATGGGTTAAGGACTAATCTAGTTGTCAAGAAGACAGGGGGTTGTTAAAATATAGCTTTTGGTTTTTGTATTAATTATGAGTTAAAATTATTAATTTGTACTTTTTTATATGTAAAGATTTGTGTGTTTGTTATTTCTTCATACTCAAAAGGCTGGACGAATTTGGGTTAGTAATATTTAGTATAATAATAGTAATAGTATTATGGATATCAGATAGTTGATTCACTACACATATATAAAAATACACACATATTATAAATATAAGCACCCATGACTGGTGATAGCAAACCGAGCGAAACGTGTCGTTATAAGAATATAGATATAATTTTACCTGGAGTAACAATTATGCGAGGGAAAGTCGTAAGTATATTATATGTATATTTTACTAGCGACTCACCTTTGCTTCACTCGAGGTAACCTTTGTGTTACTACAGATGCAGATAATCTATCTGTCTACTGAATTCCATCCAAATCCTTTCAGCTGTTTCCAGGAGTAGAAAACATACAAAATTTGGTATAGTTTACATATAGGAGTCGAAGTTGCGACCGTCAAGATTGTAGTGAGTGTAAGCCCACTGCTAAGCTATAGCCTTTTGGTCATCTGATATAAATTTTCGTGATACGTATAAATAAGTATCTACTAAAAAAATAACTTTATTTAGAGGTCCACTGGGAAATGTAAAAAGAGCTCGGCTAATTCTGCAGGTTCCGCAAACTTCAGTGAGAAGTAAAAGTTCCAAACTTTAGACTCCATTTTATTTCCTTGACTTTTCTGAAAGTTTTAAATTTTATCTTTTGTAAACATAGATTGAAATTTAAGTTCATAGTGTTTTTTAAGCCACGTGAGAGATGACTACCTATTTCGGGAATATTAGTGTAACTTACCCGTAATTTCTATTTCCATATTATAAAACATTTCTTTTATTGTAGGCTCACCCTCGCTTCGCTCAGTTTCGCCTCTAGGAAAACAAAAACAAACCTATCCCACAGGAAACGTACATTTTCCGGGATAAAAAGTAGCCTATATATTATTCCAGACTACAGTCTATCTCTGTGCTAAATTTCATCTAGATCCGTTCAGCTGTTCTGGCGTCAAAGAGTAACAAACATCTATACATACTCACACTCACATTTTAATATTAGTATAGATATAGAGATGAGTGATTATTTTAGTTTTGTTAAAAATGAAAAAAATATATTTTGAATTTTAAAACATCCCAAAAAATATATTATAATTTATTAGACTAGCGACTCACCCACGCCTGGCCCGGGTTCGTCCCCGGGTACGTTTTAATGGTTAGTGTGGAATAGATAGACTATATATTATATGACATATAGCCTACAAGCTTTCTTTAATAAACGAGCTATCTAATGTAAAAATATTTTTTCAAATCGGATTAGTAGTAGTTCCTGTGTGTAGTGAGATTAGCGTGCTTAAACAAACTAATAAATAAACAAACAAACTCTGCATTTTGTAATATTAGTGTTGATTATATTAGTTGAAACAAAGATACAATAACATCTGATCTAAGCGAGAATCGAACTGATGTCCCAGTAATACGAGTAGCTTCTTCCAGTGTCATTAATTATGGGTAGCTTATACACACTACATACATTGTACGTAATTTTGGAGAGATTAAGTTTTTAATAAAGTTCGGTGAACAGATTTATGCTGTGAAAGAATAATGAGGCTATCCTCATTCTTAGGGAACTATGAAATATGTAGAGAATATAAAGGCTACAATATTTTGCGAAAGCTTGTTTTGCAAGTTTTGTCTAGTTCAGTAGAAACGTTTACTTTTGCCTTTTGATATGAAAGAAGCTTATGAGATGAATAAATATTGATTATATGTTAACACATTAATATTGTTTTTGTCCCTGAAGAACGAAGGGTATTACAAGTAAAACCTATATGTGTGCATATGTATGTGTCTCTTTATGTTTGCTATGTCAACGGTCTCCGGTTCGAGACCCGTTGAGGGCATTCATTTGTGTAATAAATACGAATGTTTGTACTCCTGTCATGGGTGTTTTAATTTTAAAATGTATGTATGTATTTAAGGTTATATATGTGTAGTGTATCAAGTATCTGGTATCCATAACACATGCCTCGTAGCTTACCATGGAACTAGATGGTGCTGTGTGTTAATGTCACAACATATTTATCTAAAAAAAGTTGACAGAATAAATTTTGTCAAATTAAATATCCAAAAATCTATACATATAAAACAGTCCAAATATTTGTTTGAACCAGACACCGCTAGAACAAATCAAGACTACTTACTACGCGTGATTTCATCGTACCAGCTTATGTTATTTGATTGGCACCCTCTCATAAAATATTTGAACAAGGTTTAGTATCAAATAACGAACCGAGGTTTCCAAATTAGATGAATAACCCCATTCTATGAGATGGGTACAAAATTCAGTTCTAATAAATTAGTTCTAGAAACTATTTTAATATAGAGACCTATTTTATCGGCATATTTAGACGAAGTGTTTGGTTGAAGGATTTATCAATGGCTATGAATATTTTTAAGAATATCTTATGTAAGTACTAGCGGTTCATCCTCGTCTCGCTCGAGTTCGTCCCTAGGTATGTTTTAGTGATTAGTATAGAATAGATTGTGGGTTATTTTATAACGTGTTTTCCCGTATGAATGAGGTAATCTCTAGCGGTAAAAAGTAAGTAGCCTATGTTACTCTTCCGCCCTCCAACTATCTCCACACAAAATATCACACCAATCCGTCTCTCTGTTTCGATGTGAAAGAAGGAAAATTAAACAAATCAATAGACTTTCACATTTATAATATTAGTAAGTATGAATTGTACTGTATTCCGCTCTTTTTAACGTCCCACTGCTGGGCACGGACAGGCAATACGACGGGGGTCACAGTCTGGTCAAGTGTGGCTTGGCGATCTTCACATGTCTTGGGAAAACTTTTTAGGTTCTCTCAGATATGCAGATTTTTGTACGATGTTGTCCTTCACCGTTAAGACAAGTGGTAATCATAGTGGAAATGATTCGCACATGAAAATATCAGAGGTGCGAGACCCGGTATTTGAACCTGCTTCACTTGGTTTTCCAAGCCTTCTTCCTTCTTTACCTTCTTCCTTACATTATATACAAAGTATTATTTTATTTTTGTATTTTTTTAATCGGACTACTATTACATATGCAAAAGTATAATGAACATATCTGCTTGTTACTCACGCTGAAACGATTCTACAGATTTTGATTAAATTTAGTACATAGACTATCACCTTTTTTTTAAAGTTGCGAAATATATTTATGCATACCACCTGCGTACACATAGGTGGTATGCATAAATACTAAAACCCAACGGAACCTCTTAATGGGAAAATGGTTTTAATAAACGTCATGGGATCGCTTACGCACTGCTTACGGCTGACAGCCGAAGCAGACCACAAAAACCAAGGGGTTGCTCCCACGATCCTGCTATCTATTAGTCATCAGAACTACCAACAGTAACCCGCATGATCAACCTCCCAAGGTATAGGTATATCCCAATAATAAATATACACCAATCATTCTAGCTCATATAAAAATATAGTCAGTACGCATGTGTGTTTATCTCAAGAACTACTGAACTAATCTGGGTGCAATTTTAGCATATATTTATATAGCTATATCTATATAGCATTATATTTAAAATGGATAGATCCTTGCCATACCCCTATAGGATATTTGGTAAATATGAGTGGAATAAGCAGAAAAAGTTTTACTTGTCTACGTAAAGCTACGACGCTACAACGTGCTACGACGTGCACTGCAAACACGTTTGTACTTTTAAATAAATGAAAACAATGTATATGAAAAATAAGTAAAAGTCTAATAGTTCAACAAAATGGGCCGATACTATATTTCTAACTCAATAATATTTCACATATATTTACATTTATTCAGTACATACATATATTTTTACTTTTATATATTGAGACTAGTGACTCACCCTCGCTTTGCTCGAGTTCGTCCCTTTGTACGTTTTAACGGTTAGTATAGATTTTTCAGATATCAGATTTCCCTCGGAAAATAAATATTTACCGCGGAAAAGTATTCTAAATGTTGATCCGGATATCCAGCTGTAACGATACCAAATTTCATCAAAATCTGTTCAGTGGTTTTTTCTTGATGCGTTCTCAGACAGACAGACAGACAGATAAAAATTCTAAAAACTATAGATCCGGTCTGTGTATCGATAATAATGACTATTTCAATAAGATTTTCCAAAAAAATTTGTTATATACAGATTCGACTCAGAACTTTATTATATGTATAGATATTGAATATTTTTAGGTGTTCATCCAGTTGTTGAAATTTTACCATAATCAATATGGAAAATTTGAGAAAAACGTAATAAAATATTTCTTTTATATAGATAGGAAAATTCCCTATATATATAAAAAATCGATTTTTAAAATTTTATTTATTGATAACAGCTTCTAAAAAAACCTATTGTTGAATTTCCCAATTTCGGGAAGTTATTGAGATCTTCTAAACAGAGAGACGTTATCTAAACTTGGCCCGTTTAGGAACTCGAATCCAGGACTTTCGAATGTACAGTCGTACTAAAACTACCGAGTCAGTTATTGTCAACTGGTTGTAAGATGTATTTGTATGTTGTCGCTTAAACAAAATTGAACCTACTATAACGCTTCAATACCAGTAGACTAGCACTGTGCAAGAGGGTCTTTTAAGAAATACAAAATGAGAATATTAATTTTGCAAACATATGTTAAATGGAAAGTTAATCATAATTCATGTAAGGGACGTGGGTGTGACCTCGTGTAATTACAGAGCTTCAGAACTCGATTAGAATCCTCTCATTTCCTTTCCCATAACGTAACAGACGTTTTGTTAAGAACATGTTTTACTTTTAATTACTTTTACTTTGATTAAACGAAGATTGATAGGTTGTAGTGCTGTCATGTAGAACTAGTGATGCTCCCTTGTATCCCTTTTTGTAACGAAATCTTTCACAGTGGAACAACCGGATTGTACACTAACATAAAACAGATTGATTATATAAGATTATCTTAAATTTACGCGAATATTTGACATTTTAAATAAAACTATCTTTTCAGATTTTTTAAAATAAATCCGCGAAAAAAACTGAAATTATCATTTTATTAAATATGTCAGATTGATTTGATTGATGGGAAAAATCAATGCTAATGCCCAATGGCTCATCAATAAATTATTTTTCGTGTTTACCTCTTCGCACTTACCGTCACATCGATCGGGTGCGTCCCTAGCTGCGTTTAATTTTTTTTGAGCAGAACCCTATTTTTTTTTAATTAAAGTAGCTTAAGTTACTGCTTATAATATCAGCTATTTGACAGTGAAATTCCCGTCAAAATCAGTCCAGTCATTTTGGAGATTAGCTGGAGCAAACAGACATTTTTTTTAATAAAATGTGTTTTTCGTATAAGTACCGTATATAATTTCAGATGCATTTAGTAAAAAGCTTTTATTTCAATATAAACAGACATTTCAATTTTAATTATCTGTATAGATTAGAAGTAATAAAACTTAATTATTATGTATCTTTATATAAATATGCAAATAAAAAACAATTCAGTACCTTTTTCTTATCGATTTGTCAACCTATTTTTTTTGTATAGTAGCTATAACGAGTTTTAGTGTTATCAATAAAAAAATGAAAAAAACAACAGTTTTTTATAAAGATAAGTAAATTCTAATTATATATGTTTCCTTAAAAAATAAAATATAAATGTGAAATTTTGTGAGGATGGATGGATAATTGTTATACTTTCATGTCAGAACAGCTGAACATATCTGAATGAAATATGGCACAGAGATAGATTATAGTTTTGTAATAGTACACAGGTTACTTTTTATCCCAAAAAATCAAAAAATG